CAGGGTTAAAACAAGGCAAATAAGACTGTTTTCACTGAAGCAAATCAGTGAAGTCAAGACTAAAAACACAACGCAACTGATTAAACAGCTGGCCTTTCTGCCTCACTGCTGATCATGATTTACTAGAAGAAGCAGCCCACGCTTTATTGCTTACATCTAACAAAACCCTAGGTTTTTGAAGCCACAGCACTAACTCTACTCTGAATTTCACTGGCACTTTCCTTAACTAAATAAAAAGGATTCTGGGATCTGTTCTAAACCTTTTTTTTACAGTTAATATGTAGAGTTGCAGAGAAGCGTTCCTGTATTGCAAATTGCTAATCATAAAGCAATATTAAACAATCAAAAACAGCACATCACTTAAAGCAGGCAAGTGGATCACCATATCCATTTTAAAACTTCAGAAACAGAGGCACAGAGAAATAAAGTAGCTTCACTAAGTAGACTCCAGACTTCCTGAATGCAAATTTACATTCTCCCACTCAAAAAAATCTTTACACACTAGATGCTAATCATTGAAAGAAAAAGTATGTGCCTACTACAAGCAAATATATCTGATAGTGCATAGAGTCAAGCACAATTTTTGTAAGAAATTCTAAGCTGCAAAAATGTTAACAATCCTTTGCTTTCCTTTTTTTTCCCCAGAAGTATAAACCAGAAATTAAATTGCAAGCACAGATCAAAGAATATATGAAAACTCTGTAAGAAAGAGAATGAGATTTTGGATACAATAAGAAAACTATGTGTATTTAGACTGCATCTAACCAAGCCCTGAGGCTAGAGAAAAGTTTTTACATTTCCATAATCTAAGTTTGAATTTTCCTTCTTATGAAAAGCCAAGTAAAACTCTTCATTGTATCCTAAAATTTATTTAGGAAAATCAAAGAAAATAAAGCATTCCTTATGACTCTCAGACCCATACAATACAGATCTGATGACAGTTTAGTTCACATTCTTATTTTGCTAAACCACTGCAGAGATAAATTAGATCTACTTGAAATGTAGTTAAAACTGGAAACAAAAATAACATTAAAATGACCTTTTTAAAATCATCTCTGCACACTGCAGTACTACTAGTACTATATACTATATTTTCAGGACTAATTTTAAGATTTTAAATCCCATATTCCTTAAGAACGAAGAACTACTTTTAGTAACAGCCTTTAGTTGGCATAAAATTCTACTTTTCTAAACTTCTGCTGCCATCTTGTGGAAACGGTATTACAGTTCCAAAAAGCAAAGTTGTATATAAAACATCTTTTACACTGTTAGAACTTCAACCTTACTTGCAGCCAATTATATAACATTCATTCTGTTTTGAATGGTTTTCTCACTTTGCATAAATTGTTGCTCTTCTCTTCCAGTAATATTACATTCTTCCACAGAACAAATATTAAAGCAAAATTAAAGGATAGCTGTGCTAGATGAATCCAGCTGAAGCATAAACTGGTTTCTTACTCAAATGCAATCCTATACCTGCTAACAATATTTTCCTTGAACAATTTAGAACTCTCTCAGGTATCAGAACTATGGCATTCTCCTACATCAGTATTGCTCCCAGTCTTTTGCAGGAAAAAATATTTATGTGTTTTCTTTATTCTTTGTAAATAAAAAGACAAAAATTACTACCTCGTTTACTAAACTCAAGGTGCAAACATATGCAGCAGGTGTTTTAATCTACTTCTTAATATATTTAATATAGATATTTAATCTATGGGCAAGAAATGTCAAATCTTTCTGAAGTGTACATACATACTTTATATACATACTATATTCTCTAAAAAGATGCTAAAACTGTTTAAAGTCTCAAACTATGACAGGCTATAGCACCTGATAAGATAAAAATACTTACTTCAAATTCTTTAACAAAGTAACGTATTTCTCCATGAATTACTGGCCTGTGATCCAGCAGTCTTGAATGAATTTCCCCAACATCTGAAAGACCAATGAAAGTCAGAATTTTACTTTTCATCTCACTCCATGCTAGGCTACATAATGTAATGTAGCACAACACACTTAAAAACAAAGGGCATTACTGCTGGAAAAAACACTTTGGAACCTAAAAGAAAAGCAGGATAGTATCTGTGGGCTATCCTATCTATTCAGCAAACCATCAACTTAGTAAAATGCAATGAATTAACATTCTGCATGCTACACTTCTCTGTGAAGGTGAGCATTCACAGAATCACAGAACAGTTGAGGTTGGAAGGGACCTCTGGAGATCGTCCGGTACAATCCCCTGCTCAAGCAGGGTCACCTACAGCAGGTTGTCCAGGACCATGCCAAGTCAGATTTTGAAATTCTCCAAGGACGGACACTACAGAGCCTCTCTAAACAACCTGTTCTAGTTTCCAGTATTCAACCACCCCCACAGTTTAAAAAAAAAAAAAAAAAAAAAGAATTTGGCTCTCTCTTCTTTACTCCCTCCCATTAATTATTTATACACATGGATAAGATCCTCCTGAGCCTTCTCTTCTCCAGGCTGAAGAGTCTCAGCTCTCTCAGTCTCCCCTCAAACGACAGACGCTCCAATCCTTTAGTTATCTTTGTGGTCCTTCGCTGGACTCCATGTTTCTCTCTTGTACTGGGGAGCCCAGAATTGGACACAGCACTCCAAATTTGGGCTCGCCAGGGCTGAGCAGAGGGGAAATATCACTTCCCTTCACCTGCTGGTGATGTCCTCGCTAAAGCAACCCACAAGGTGGTTGGCTGCCTTTGCCACAAGGGAACACTGCTGGCTCATTGTCAACTTGTTGTCCACCAGGATCCCCAGGGCCTTCTCTGCAAAGCTGCCCTCCAGCTGGTTGGCCCTCAATCTGTCCTGGTACATGGGGTTACTCCTCCCCAGGGGCAGGACTTGGCACTTCCCTTTGTTCAGCTTCATGAGGTTCCTCCCTACCCACTTCCCCAGCCTGTCAAGGTCCCTCTGAATGGCAGCACAGCCCTCTGGTGCATCAGCCACTCCTCCCAGTTTCATATCATCTACAAACTTTCTGAGGGTGCACTCCGTCCCATCATCTAGGTCATTAATGAAGAAGTTACACAATTTTAGCGCCAGTATCAACCTTTGGGGTATACCACCACTGACTGGCCTCCAGCTTTCAGCCCACCTCACTGTCCACTTATCTAGCCTATACTTCATCAACTTGTCTATGAGGATATTATCGAAGACAATGTCAAAAGCCTTACTAGAGCTGAGATAAACAACATCCACTGTTCTCCCCTCATCCACTGAACCAGTCATCTTCTTCTAGAAGGCTATCAGGTCAGGTAAGCCTGATATCCCCTTTGTAAATCCATGCTGACCACTCCCAGTCACCTTCTTACATTCATGCATCTGCAAATAGTTTCCAGGATTAGTTGCTCCATCACCTTCCCTGGGATCAGGGTGAGACTGACCAGCCCGTATTTCTCTGTATCCTCTTCCTTGCACTTCTTGAAGACAGGAGTGGCATTTGCTTTCTTCCAGTCCTCAGGAAGCTCCCCTGATCACCATGACATTTCAAAGATATCCAAGAATGGCCTCACAATGACGTCAGCCCGCTCCCTCAGCACTAGCGGGTGCATCCCTTCATGTCCCACGGACTTGTGTGTGTCCAATTTGTTTAAATGTTCCCTAGCCTGATCCTCCTCCGTTGCTACGGACTTCCCCTCTGGTCTCAGGGACCTGGGATTCCTGAAGGCCAGATTTACCAGGGAAGACTGAGGCAAAGAAGGCATTGAGTACTTTGGCCTTTTTCATGACCTTGGTCAGCGCATTCCCTGTCACATTCAGCAGCAGGCCTGCGTTTTCCCTAGCCTTCCTTTTGCTGCTGAGCTACTTGCAGAAGACTTTCTTGTTGCCCTGACCAGATTCAACTCCAAGTGGGCTTTAGCTTTCTTAACTCCATCCCTGCATACTTGGACAACGTCTCTACATTCCTCTTCAGTCACCTGTCCCTGCTTCCACCTCTTGTAGACTTCCTTTTTATGTTTGTATTTTGTCTAGAGCTCCTCATTCATCCCTGCAGGCCTCCTGCAACCTTTGCTCGATCTCCTGCTGGTCGGGACAGACTGTTTTTGAGCTTAGAGGAGGTGATCCTTGAATATAAATCAGCTCTCTTGGACCCCTGTTCTCTCCAGGGCTGTATCCCATGGGACTCTTCCAAGCAGGTCCCTGAAGAGGTCAGAGTCTGCTCCCCTGAAGTCCAGGATTTTGATCCTGCTTTCTGCCCTGCTTCCTCCTTGCAGAATCCTGAACTCCAGGCCACTGCAGCCAAGGCTGTCCCTGACCTACACATCCCTAACCAGACCTTCCTTATTTGTAAGTATTACATAGAGCAGCGTGCTTCTCCTCATGAGCAACTCGATCCCCTGTGTTAAGAAGCTGTCAACAATTCAGTTCAAAAACCTCCTGGATTGCTTATGCCCTGCTGTGCTGTCCCTCCAGTAGATGCCAGGGTGGTTAAAGTCCCCCACGAGGACCAGGGCCTGCGAATGTGAGACTTCTTCCAGCTGTCTGAAGAAGGCCTCACTTCTTTTTCCTATCAGGCAGTCTATAGCAGATACTTACTACAACATCATCTGCATTAGTCTGCCCACTAACCCCGACCCATAAGATCTCAGCTGGCCCCTCGCCCATCCCTAGGCAGAGCTCCATGCATTTCCACTGAGCTCTCTCACATGAAAGGCAACTCCCCCTCATCGCTGTCCCAGCCAGTCCTTCCTAAAGAGCCTGTATCCATCCAATGCAGCACTCCAGTCATGTGATCTATCCCACCATGTCTCCATCATCCCATTGAGATTGCAGCCCTGTAACTGTGCACAGACCTCTAATTCCTCCTATCTGTTCACAATGCTGCATTCAGTAGTGTACATGCACTTCAGAGGCACCCAAGCATACTGATTTCCCAGAAAGGGTATGGAGTGCTTTCTCCATAATGCTGTCCCATAGGCACTTCCTTATTTACATGCATATGTTTGGGCTAACTCCATTTCAGCCCTTTTGTTGATTATGAGGTCCCTTCTATTCATATCATCCCAGAGCCTTTGCCATCGTGGTCCATCACTTCCTCACTTGACTGTTAGTCATTCTCTCATTCCATCATTTCTAGTTTAAAGCTCTCCTTACCAGGTTGCCCAGCCTGTTAGCAAAGATACTTTTGCCCCACCTAGTCAGATGGATCCCGTCTCTTCCATGCAGTTTTTGACCCTGAGCGGGTTGCATGGTCACAGAAACCATGTTGCCGACACCAGCTGTACAAATAATTGTCGACCTCCAGTTCTCTTCAAGCCCTCTCCCCTCACTGGTAGGATCAAGGAGAACACCACCTGGGCCTCCAGGCCCTTGACCATCACCCCCCCCCCCCCCCCCGTCTCCTCTGTTTCAATCCTGCTCCTCAGTATACAGCTTCTGTATCTGACTATTAATGATGGCAAAAATTTGAGGCAGAGTTGAACTAAAGGCTGTAGTTCTACAGAGATTCATAGCTTAAGATGTGGGAGTTTTCTGCAGAGAGAGACAAGAGGAAAGTTCACTACAAAGGAAAACTGTTAGCGTTCACCTGTTCCCTGTACCCTAGGGCTCAAAAATTGGAGCTTAATCTTAAAAAATATTTACAATAGTATACATATATATATGTGTGTGTGTGTGCGTGTGTGCATATATCTATCTCTCTCTCTATATACATAAAATATGAGAAATAGACTGGGCTGTTATAAAGAAAAATCATGTTTAATTTACAAGAACTCTGACAGCATATCAAACAACACAGTTGTTGAACTGTGTTGTTCACAAGAAAAACACAGTGTAGTGCCATAAACATTTTAAATGGACACTAAGCCAGCGCTGCCATCTAAAGGAACTACCCTGTTTGTTCTCCTGCTTCCAGCTATTTGTTCCTACCTTGTAGCTTTCACTCTCTACTGAAGCCATATATATCTGAATCAATAACCTGAATCCCACCCCATCCAAAAAAGTACAGAAGGATTATTTTAAATTTGGGGAATTACATGGTGACAATAAACAAAGCTTAGGATAAAATACTTAAAGTTCAAATACTTGTAAGTACAGATTAACTAGCACAAAACCCAGGTACTTAAGAGAAGCTTAGAAGCTTTTCTTAGAAGAGCTTCTATGGAGAAACTCAACAGCAGTAGCAAGGACCTCATGGTCAAAACACCTGTAAATATAGCTTTTTAAAATAAAGCCACATAGCTATCCAGGATACCAAGTTTCAAATGGCAAAAGATATGTTTGTAACAGCTTTTCCAAAAACGAACCCAATTTCTTAAGCATCTAACTTAAAGCTTCAAATTATTCAAAGAATCACAGGGCGCTGGAAAGTTACTAAGGGATCGTTAGGCCAACTCTCTGCACCAAATGCATCTGACAGGCGTCTACCTGTTAACCTGTTAGAGAGGAAATCCCCAAAGGGGAAAAATCTAGTATTTCACTACAGCCAAAAGGTTTTAGCACTACACCCAAATAGTCTCTCTCCTGAACGTCTGTGCCTATGTCTCGTCTTCGGCCAGAGCGGACTGGGAACAACAGGCCCGTCCCTCCGCCGCAGCGCTGCCCGGGCTG